TAGCACCACGCAAGCAGGGACTTTTGTCTTTTTGTTCACTGATGTATTTACACCATCTAAAACAACACAGGCATATAGTAGGCACTGAATAAATATTTGCTACATGAATGAATGAATGAATGAATGGTCTTTATGACAAAATGAAAAAAGCATCTACCCATTTTTCTTCTAATATTCAATGATTTTACTTTTTACACTTAAATCTCTGAGCTGGAATTTATTTTGGAGTAAATTCTTTTCTTCAAATGGCTCTCTAATTGTCTCAACACAATTTGTTGAAAAATCCATCATCCCCCTGCCCAAATGTTTCTTTCTTAAAAATTTTTTATATTTATTTATTATGAACACATAATAATTGTACATATTTTCAAATGTTTCTTAAGGCATACTTTGGTTCCTTTTAATTGAGTATCAAGTTGGATCAAAACTTATCACCTCTGGCTGGGCGCGGTGGCTCATGCCAGGTTACAAATCCTAGCACTCTGGGAGGCCGAGGCGGATGGATTGTTTGAACTCAGGAGTTCGAGACCAGCCTGAGCAAGAGTGAGACCCCGTCTCTACTAAAAAAATAGAAGGAAATTAGCTGGACAACTAAAAATATATAGAAAAAATTAGCCGGGCATGGTGGCTCGCACCTGCAGTCCCAGCTACTTGGGAGGCTGAGGCAGGACTACATGAGTGCAGGCATTTGAGGTTGCTGTGAGCTAGGCTGATGCCACCACGGCACGCTAGCCTGGGCAACACAGTGAGACTCTGTCTCAAAAAAAGAAACAACTTATCATCTCCTTCATTGTGGAGAAAAATACAGTAGAATTGTATCTTCATTTAGTCAGCCACTTCCAAGATAGATACCAAAGTCATATATTGGTTAAAAAGTTTTTATTCCTTGTTCGTTGTAGCTAAGTAGGCTATCTTCTGGACAGTGGCTACTTAAAGTGGTTTGGAAAGTTTCCCAATCTTTAATCACATAAAATTCTTCCTTCCCTTCCTCCTTCTGCTTCACACAAGATAACAGACTTTTGTAGAACACGTGGCAGGGTTATCTTTCTGTAGTTTGGAGAACAGGCATTACTGGATGCAGAGTGACCTTACATATGGCCTTCATGTAAAAACGCAAGCCTGACAGGAGAGCTTCATTTTACTTATTTCAGAGTGATCCCAAGTTTGATGACTGAAAGGTTATTTCTTGAATTTAACTGGTTGAAGCTTTTAAAACTATGGGTTTGTTTGTTGTTGTTGCTTTAGTAAGAAACGTGGGCCCTTTGCAGGTAAGTTGGGATTTAAGACAAGGCCACCAGTATTCGTTAAATACTTCCTATGCACTCATCTAATGGTAAGTGCCATGGAGGGTAAGAAGTGCTTGCAAGTCAATTTAGCCAACATTTATTTAGCACTGATTATACCCCAAGGTTACCTGGTGGTGAAGTAATATTGTTTCACTCAGTCTATCAGTCAATCACTGAGTTGGCATCTGGAGAGAAACAACGAGCCAAAGGAAAAATGATAGTAAAAAGAAAATGTAACATTTAATGACAATCTCCAAGAGTAGTTTACTATCACAAATGATAGTAAAGAGAAAATGTAACATTTAATGACAATTCAAAAGAGTAAGTAGAAAGAAAGAGGCAAAGGGAAAAATCTAGAAGATCCACGAGGAGGGATGGGATTCAAGGTTACTTTTGGGCAGCGTGAGACTCGTTTATCCAACTGCCTGTTGGCCAGAGTCCCTCCCACTCAGCAGACTCACATCCTCTCTCTCCTGGTTTACATCAGCATACCCTCCTAATTTGTCTCCCTATTTCCTGTCTCTCCCTCCTACAAAACAGTTGCCAGACTATAGCCACAGTAATCTCATTAAAATGAAATCTGATTACCTTGCTCCACCTCTTAAAAAGGCTCCCCTCTCCATTGCCCTCCAGTTGATCTAGTCAGAAGGCCCTCTGCGTCCCTCTCCAGCTTCTTCCTTGTCCTCTCTGTCCTCATTCTACACTACTAACACATACTACTAACACATACATACTAACCCCCTCAATTAGCCATCTCCACCCCCTTCCTCTCTCTTCTGGTCCTTGGAAGTGTTACCCCTCCCCCACTCTACTCTTCCCCTCGCCCACATTCCCAGGCACTCATTAAGATGTGCATTTCCTTCTTCTTTTTTTCTTTTTTTCAATTTTTTTCCTTTTTAATCTTTTTCTTTTCTATTTTTTTTTAAATGGAGACGGCGGAGGGGCGGGTGTCTTGCTCTTGCTGAGGCTGGTCCGGAGCTCCTGAGCTCAAGTGATCCTCCCGCCTCAGCCTCCCAGAGGCTGAGCCACCACAGGCGTGAGCCACCACGCCTGGCCCGCATTTCCTTCTTGAGATGAAAGTGGACGGAGACATCTATTGTGGAGCCTGCTTTGTTCTGCTGTAGACTGGGGGAGTGTAGGGAAGAGTCCTGTAGTCATTCTCTCTGGATCTGAGAGAGAGAAAGACAGTGCCTGCTTCTACAGGGTGGGGGATTTCTCCTGACTCCCTCTGGGGGTACAGGTTCTGCTTGCTGAGTCTGGTATTTAACTCATATTTGCCAACCTGGCCAATTCCCAACTATCTCCAGAGTCAGTAATTTATATAACTCATTCCGAAGGCACATGGACATGACTTTTGCTTTGCTTGTTATTATTTGGCTGGGAAAAAAACAAGAACAAATATTCTTGTCCTACTGAGCATTATTCTCTCCACTAATGTTAATAATTCAGAGCTGGTTCCGAAACTCCTTGAGGGATTTTCCCCATGACCTGAGCATCATTTACTACAACCTGCCTGGCATATACCATAATTCACCACAGACAGGTAATTATGACTATGAAGAAGAAAATCGACAATTGTCCATAAATTCCACCACCCGCCCCAAGATAACCTGATAACATTTTAGCATATTTCCTCCCAGTTATTTCCTCTCCATATATATATATCTTTAATAGTTCATTTTGTGATCTTGGGCCTTCTTTTCCCATTGTACTTTCTTCTTTAGTGCTTTCATCCATTCTGCTGGCTTTTATTATAATACTATCTCTAAGGTGACAATTTAGCACAGATCCCTGCTCTGAGCATCAGATTTTTCTGCCCCCACATCCCAAACTTGCTCCTCTGCAACCATTTTGGTAAATGGCCATCACCATTTGTTCTACTAATACGAGATACTTGGAGTCATCCATAATGATCCCCTCTTCCCTTCCCATTTCCTCAATTCCTCTCCAGCCCTTCCCCATTTGTCTTAGTCCATTCCTGCTCCTATCACAAAATACCAAAAGCTGAGTGGTTTATAAACAACAGAAATTTATTGCTCGCATTTCTGGAGGCTGGAAATCCAAGATCAAGACACCGGCAGATTCAGTGTCCGGTGAGGGCCCACCACGACCACCAGTTTCTTGGTTCATAGACTGTATCTCCTCAGTGTGTCCTCGCATGGTGGATGGGGTCTCTTTCGTAAGGGTGCTAATCCCATTCATAAGGATTCTACTCCCACGACCTGATCTCCTCCCAAAGGCCCCACCTCCTAAAACTATCACCTTAGGGGCTAGGATTTCTAAGTATGAATTTGGGGAAGGACATAAACATTCAATCACAGCACCATCGGATTCATTACAAATCCTGTCCACACTATATATCATATGCATCTGGCACTTGTTCTTTCCTCCCCATGTCCACTGCCACCACCCTAATTCAAGCTACCATCCTTTCCTCTCTCTCTGGTCTGCTCCCACAGCCCTATCAGTGTCTCTGCTTCCATAATTATCCCCCTACAATCTTTTAATGGACTCAAAAGTCCTGCCTACCTTAGCTCTCTAATTTCATGCCCCTTAAATTCCTGTCACCCTGGCCCTCTTTCTGCCCCTCTATAGATATCAAGCTCTTCCCCTCTACTTTGTACTTAGTGTCCTATTCTTTTCCTGAAAGGCTTTTCCCTCAGCTGTTCCCATGGCTGGTTTCTTCTCTCCCTTCAGCTCTACTCTGCAAAGTCACCACTTTAGATAGACCTTCCCTAACGTCTAAATCAAATTTGGTTTCCCTGATATTGTCCATTGAAGCACCTAGTTTACTTCCCTCCTGGCAATAATCACAACATGACTTATTTTATTTGTTAATTTTATCTAGTTTCTTTAATTCTTAAAGAAACTAAAGTTTTAAATTTGTTTTTGTAATTTTTCCCCCCAACCAGTAGCATGAGCAGATAAAATACAGAATACCCAGTTAAATTTGAATTTCAGATAAACAACGAATAAATATTGTGTATATGAGATTTGGGACATACTTACACCAAAAAAAAGTATTTGTTACCTGAAATTCAAACTTAACTGGGTACCCTGTATTTTAATTTGCTAAATCTGGCAGCCTTACCCACGAGGCGCCTTACCGTTGTCTTGCTTACCCTGAGTAGTATCTCACGGCCTGCCATTTAGTAGGTGCTCAGTAATTGTTCTAGATGAACGATCTGCATGATTATTTTGTACGTTTTTTTCTCACTTGACATTTTCATGTACATATCAGAATTTCCTCCACCCACTAAAAATTTTCGTTAAAGACAATTTTGGAAAATATATTGTATTACTTAAACTTCTTTGTTTTCCATTGCTGCAAAATTAGCATAGTAGAAGTATCTACCTTCATCACGTTGATTTGAGAATTAAAAGAGTTAATGGAAAAGTAAAAGTAAACTTTTGCACCGAAAGCCCGGCCCACTAGAATGAATGCTTAATAAATTTCAGTTCTTTATTAAATGAAGCCTGTGCAGCATTTTAGCGGAAAGCAAAAACGCGCGTTTGTAAAGAACGGGTGGGGGTAGGGAGAACGGTTAGAAACGGGCGCCGACCAGAACGCTGAGGGCCCGGGAAAGAGGGAGGAGGCAAGCGTGAATGACAGAGGAGACAGCCAATGGGAAGACTTGGAACCGCTCCCCCTCCCTTCGCGTTTCAAATTCTGAGCTCCGTTTCCATCCGGGTCCTTCAGCCTCGTTCCCGGGCAGTATAAAGTTTGCTGTCTCCTTTGTTCGCCCTCGTTGCGCAGTAGTGCAAGCGGCTTCTACGTTCAGTTCTTGAGCCCGGCAGCCGCCGCTCGTGCTGAGCTGCTAGGAATCCCTGTCAGCGAGCTCGTAGGAGCTTGAAACCATCGTCGCGCCTCCGGTACGTGTGCCCTTGCCTCAGTCCGTTTTCCGTACACCCTGAACCTTAGGACTAGGGATTATTTCCCTGGAGATGGGGGTGGCGGGCGCCATTTTAAGAACCCAAAGGGGCCGACCTATTTAAATAAACCTGAGGGGGTCAAGGCAAACAGATTTGGGGGTCCGTTTCAGTGTATGCCTCTCGAGAAAGTTTGGCTGTAGCTTGCGGGAATGGTGGCAGAGGTCGGGGCTTTGTAGGCTGGAGCGGTGTGAGTAGCGACCGCGCCACCGTGTTACCTGCATTGGGTTGGCGCTGGCGCTAATGATGGGCAAGTGGACTTTTATGCAGGCTGCGGGCTCCTTCTTCATTGGTGGCTCTGGAAAGGAAGCTCTTTGAATTTTCCCAGCTACTATTGGCGGTGGAAGTTAGTCCCCTGACCGGTGTCCGTGGTTCTGGGCTGAATCCAAGTGTCGCCATTTTGTCTTTTACACGCGGTTTTTAATGACGAGTTTTAATTAGGTTCCACTGCAGTCATGGAGTGTTGAGTGTTTGAATATGCGCGTCCACGTTCCGCTATTTGATAGGAAACAAAGTTGACACTTGTTTTTATTTATTTTTTTAATCAGATGGTGACATTTTCGGTGGGGCGGGGGCTGGTGAAGAGGAGGAGGCATAACTTGGCTCAAACTGAAGATTTCTGCTTAGATTGACTAGAGAATTCTAATGAGGAAAAGAGTCTCTGGAAGAGGGCTTGGTGTTAAGGTCGTGCATTTGGCCCGTGACCTTGAATGGGTTGGTCGCCTTTTAAAACCGCGGCGTTGGGGGATGTGGATAAGCAGTTGAATCTTTAAAAGGCTACAAAAACATAGGATTAAGACTAAAGTTTGCTTGTTCAAATGTTGAGTAGCTGCTAATTGATGAAGAACACCTAAGGGGGATTAGGGGGAATGGTAAAAGCTAAGTTGGCCCTTTTAACTAGTTTAATGTAAATTGCGCTGTTACTAAACTACTTAATTCAAATTGGTTTCCTACTGTGGCTGACTTTAGGAATGCTTACTATGGGTGTCTTTAGGTATTAAGAAATAATGATTTTGGTGAAACCTGAAAAATGCATCACAGTAAATGTGTCCGATAAACTTGTGGAACTTTTTTCCAGGGAGGTAATACTATTTTCTTTTCAGTAGATTCACCGGGGAAAAAATGGTTGAAGCAGATCGCCCAGGAAAGCTCTTCATTGGAGGGCTTAATACAGAAACAAATGAGAAAGCCCTTGAAGCGGTATTTGGCAAATATGGACGAATAGTGGAAGGTGAGATATCTGAAAGTATAGGATGGGATATTATAATTAAAAGATAAGCTATGATGAATTTGGTTGTACTGATCATATGACATGATAACGTATTTTGTCCTCTAAGAAGTTCTGAGCTTTCTCTTTCCAGATTTGCTTTGGCTATTTCGTTAGAACTAGAGTAACGCTTTTTTTTTTTTATCTTTTTACACTATTTTTTAGTACTCTTAATGAAAGACAGAGAAACCAACAAATCAAGAGGATTTGCTTTTGTCACCTTCGAAAGCCCAGCAGATGCTAAGGATGCAGCCCGAGACATGAATGGAAAGGTGAGATTGCACGATGAGTGATACTGGTGTTTTCTAGTGCATAAAATAGCACATGTTGCCCAAGTCTAGACTAGGGCAGCTCTTGAATTTTTATTTTATCTTGGCATCCATAAACCATAACTTGATGACTTGGTTTTTATATTTGGTTATTAGTTTTTATAACAAGTTGATATCTTCCTGGCCCTGTTTTAAATTTTACTGAACAGCAGTGCAGTGGATCCACCTTACTTTTTTTTCTTTTTTTCATTTTCTTCTCTTTTCTTTTCTTTTCTTTTTTTTTTTTTTTTTAAGAGATGGGGTCTTGCTCTTGCTCAGACTGATCTTGAACTCCTGAGCTCAAGCCAGCAATCCTCCTGCCTTGGCCTCTCAGAGTGCTAGGATTACAGGCGTGAGCCACCTGACTCAGCCCCGCCTTAATGTTTTTATTCAGATCATCAATATCATATTTAAAGGTTAAGATTTTTAAGTAAATGGAGAAACCTTGTTTATAAAAACTATTTGTAGCAATTTTTTTGGCTAATTGGTGAGCAATGTTTACCTATGATTGAATTTTTTTTTTTTTTTTTTTTTTGAGACAGAGTCTTACTCTGTTGCCGTGGCTAGAGTGAGTGCCGTGGTGTCATCCAAGCTCACAGCAACCTCAAACTCCTGGGCTCAAGCAATCCTTCTGCCTCAGCCTCCCGGGTAGCTGGGACTACAGGCATGCACCACCATGCCCGGCTAATTTTTTCTATATATATTTAGTTGTCCGATTAGTTTCTTTCTGTTTTTAGTAGAGATTGGGTCTCGCTCTTGCTCAGGCTGGTTTCGAACTCCTGAGCTCAAACAATCCGCCTGCCTCGGCCTCCCAGAGTGTTAGGATTACAGACATGAGCCACCACGCCGGGCCTATGATTGTATTTTGAAGGACCTATTTGTGTTGTAGTGCATAATCGATCTACAAGTTCTTTTAAAATCTTGATATAATTTAACCATCTGTATTTTTATTCTTTTTAGTCTTTAGATGGAAAAGCCATCAAAGTGGAACAAGCCACCAAACCATCATTTGAAAGTGGTAGACGTGGACCACCTCCACCTCCAAGAAGCAGAGGCCCTCCAAGAGGTCTTAGGGGTGGAAGAGGAGGAAGTGGAGGAACCAGGGGACCTCCCTCACGGGGAGGGCACATGG